CAATCGTGCCCAACCGTTTTCCAAGTAGGCAGCTTTGTAAGCAAGACAGATTATAAAATATTATGTTTTATATCCATATATCCGTATGGTCTTGTTTGTTTGACAATATCGACAAAAACTATTCTTATGAGTTATACTGTATATCTTAATCTAACAGTTAAACAGATATTTCAACAGTAATAATAATACCTAAGTAAGTATAACATTATAAAAAATAAACTATTCACACAATTTAACGAAAAAGTTCTATATTTCGGCATTAGCCTTATTCAGGAACAAACAAATATAAGTGTTTGTTTGTTCCTGAAGAAGGCTAATGCCGAAATATAGAGCTTTTTTTAGCTTATAATGATTTAGCCGTTTGACAATACTATGAAGAAACTTAGTAAGTATAACAATAAGTCTCGTTATCGTTATTATGTCGTTCACTTAGTTATCATTAGGGCTATTAATTTCACTATACAGTACTTACTTGTATTTGCTTGCTTTACTTGTATTTGTACAAACGTGCGACAGTTATTGGAGGTAAATGACAAATCAATATCCTCCACGTAGTTGGCCGAGTGCCAAGCTACAGCTACCAGTAGTTGTAACACTTCATGTAAATAACTTGTGGCAGAACATGTTGGCAATAACCACAGTCGACCGGACAATGTGTCCAGTGAACACTTTTGTCAAAGTAGTAAAGTACGATAGCTACATAATTTTAAGCCAGTGGGTACGACTATATGAAAACTAAGATCCCTAGTAACTAAATAATGTTACGTTTATTAACTTTTCATATTTCAGACTAATCTGAGATCACATAGATTAGTTGGTCAAATGACTAGGTTAACTAGTAGTTACAGTTCTAGGACCAACACTTTACGATCGACAGAGGCTGTTTGACTAATACCATTACACTCAATGCTAATAATAAATTCCATTGATTTATACGATTTTGATTTTACCAACTCTATTACCTAAACTCCATAGCCTGTATGTTCTGCCATTTTACAGCTCAGCTGGGTAGCTGAGTGGTTGAAATGCTCACCTATTAAACAGATGATTACCAGGTTCAATCCTGTTACTGGGCCCAGATCTTCTTGATCATCAGGACTTTCTTAAACGGTCCTGACTAAAAACCCAGGTAAACTTGGTCAGGAAAAAATTTGTCAACTTATCTATTTAGCATTTAGTCATCTTCGCTATAGGAACCTTGATGTGTCGTCGTATTAAAAATCTAATCTAATCTATTAATTATCGTTATCGTTCTTGTAAGACAGTGATGCTCTCCAATGTTCGTATTGTAAGCTAACTATGGATGATTGAAGAATGGTGTGAGATGATCTGTGTAGCTTTGTTACTGACTATGATCAGCCGTTTCACCAGTCAGGATCATATTTCAAGACCAATTATCAAGGACGACCGAGTCCGGTTTGAAACATTAAAAACCTACTGACTTTTCTCACGATTGAACAGGCAAAGTTTTATTTTTAGGTGTGTACGATAACCAATCAGCTACCAAGCAAGAAATGTTTGAGGTTATGATAAACATAAGAAATGACATGTGTAGAGGATAGCAAATATCACTTCGTACTACATGAGTCACGCTTGGACGGATGAACCCTGACAGGTCACAGGACCCGAGTTGCAGTGTTGTTGATATAAGGAAGTCTGTGACGTGGTTGACCTTGAAACAGGTGAACCAAAACCAGACACTTATTACATAGCTATCACTCGCTGAGCTACGTCACATATCTACCGTTACTGCTGCTATAATAGTAATGATCCAATAATATTTTACACTCGCTTTGCAACGTAAATTAATGCCTCATTAAGATCTGTATATGACTCGAAAACAATTGTGCTGTACCGCAATCTTTTGTAGAGACATTAAATAGCTTGATGGAGCGAGTAGCTTTTAGAATTTTTTATAGAGACTAGTAAAATATTGCAGTTACCATTGTTGTTGCTATTATTTATAAATGTTGCTTTAAATATGTCATTCCATATAGTTTAATGGAACAAAACTAAGGTAAATTTAAGTGATTGTATTCTTTGACGGAATAGTTTAATAATATCGGGTATGTATGGATAGCTTTACACAATTATTCAGTATGTTTCATGTGACTGTAATTCTTATAGTGTCAGATTAAGTGTAAAAAAGGGCCATGTGGCCCTAAATTTGCGTAAAAAAAACAAGAATTTTTCATTTTATTTCATTTTTTTCATTTCATAGAGTTCCAAGAGTTTTCTTTATAACGTTTAACGTTTACAATGCGTTGCAAGATAAAGAGGAGACGCGGTCTACAAAGTGAGAGCGTTTCTTGCGAATCACGAATGTGTTACAAGGATAGTTGGGGCTGTAAAATTACGGTACCTCTCTTACTGTATTGGATTCAGATTGGTATTGTTATACGTACGTGTTTAAGACGTACATTGCGGAATTTGTAAAATACTTTGAAAAAAATTAGAATAATATTAAGTTTTCTGATAAATTATTTATACCTACATAACCAAAACATTAAACACTTTTTATAGCGGGAAACAGTTTTTGATGTATTGGTAATTATTTTTACCAAAGTTTTGGAATCACATAAACATTTAGAATTAAATTCTATAAGATAGTAAAAACTTCAAAAACGTCAACCCTTTAAATGCTATACATCGATACATCGTATATAACTGATCGCCGATAAATCAGAGATATACTCCAGCTGATCATCGCTAAGTCAGAGAGATACTACAGCTGATCTTTCTCTGACTTAGTGGTGATCAGCTGCAGTATCTCTCTGACTTAGCGGTGATCAGCTGCAGTATATCTCTGACTTAGTGGTGATCAGCTGCAGTATTTCTCTGACTTAGTGGTGATCAGCTGCAGTATATAAGTCAGAGAAATACTGCTGCTGATCACCGCTAAGTCAGAGAGATACTGCAGCTGATCACCGCTAAGTCAGAGATATACTGCAGCTGATCACCGCTAAGTCAGAGAAATACTGCAGCTGATCACCGCTAAGTCAGAGAAATACTGCAGCTGATCACCGCTAAGTCAGAGATATACTGCAGCTGATCACCGCTAAATCAGAGATATACTGCAGCTGATCACCTCTAAGTCAGAGATTTACTGCAGCTGATGAACGCTAAGTCAGAGATATACTGAAGCTGATCACCGCTAAGTCTAAAATATACTGCAGCTGATCACCGCTAAGTCAGAGAAATACTGCAGCTGATCACCTTTAAGTCTGAGATATGCTGCAGCTGATGACCGCTAAGTCAGAGATATACTGCAGCTGATCACCGCTAAGTCAGAGATATACTGCAGCTGATCACCGCTACAGAGAGATACTGCAGCTGATCACCTCTAAGTCAGAGAGATACTGCAGCTGATCACCTCTAAGTCAGAGAGATACTGCAGCTGATCACCTCGTGCATTGTCTTCTCTTCTCAGACAGGATTCTGTTTAATAATTACCGACTTGCACGTTTTCACTTTCACACGCGCGAGTTTATTGCTAATTATTAAGACATTTGAAAGCTCTCACTTCCTACTGTATGCAATTCCTTTCCACAATTCTTCAATTCTTTTACATACATAGGCTCTTGGCACTAAACATTTAACAAGGTACATATCATTATATTAAACTGGTTCTACCAAGTGTAATCTGTTCACTTGCAACTTCGTAAAAATCCAAACCATCCTAACTGCATTTGCACAGGACACGTTTTCTTGAGACACAGTTCATTCCTTAGTCAATGAAAATTGTTTATTAAAAAAACAAAACAAATGGTAGGGCCTAATATTTAGATATGTTTGTTCTTTCGGCTAATGTTATGCCTGTTGTAACCTCGGAAATGCTGATATGTGTATTGTGTGCCTGGATAAATTCCTGCGACTAAAAGAAACACCAGGAAACTGCCACCTAGTGGGTAAGGCTCCAAGGCCTGATTTCATTATTAATGCTAAGATGGGTTGAGGACTGGGGACCGTAGACCTTGTCAGATAAGGAGTGGCCAAGGTCAAGGTCAACTGCCATCTCCTGATGTCATTGCCCTCTGTCACTGACCATCGTCACTAGTTGACTGATCGTCTTTGAGAGTGTCCTACTGCATTCTATTTGTAAATTAGTCATCCTTGCTTAAACTGCCATATCAACACCTCTTTCAAATTTCAGGAGTAACTGTAATACTTTATACAGTATTATTTTTGTGGTTTTATAACTTTAAACCCCGGGACTCAATATCCAGAATAGTCTCACCTAAATGTAATGAAGGAGCACAAGTTGTCGAGGCTGAGTCGAAGACCTTTACCTTAGAGCCATAAACTTGTTATTGCTACTACGTGTTTGAAGGTCTTCGTATTGCGTGGTCCGCTTGTAGTAAACTGTATTCACACACTTTGGGCGAATAATTTATAGACATCTCAATCGTCCACGCATTACATTGGAAACGTTTAACAAAATACAGAACATAGTTGGACACCTTAAATCGTATCACATGATACATTTTAATGATATATAGTTTTATCATTTAGTAGTTACACTTGCACACAGGTTTGGTACCAGGTAAAACTGTAGAATCTACTAAACAGCTGTGTTCATATCGCATATATTTAATACAAACTCTAGGGAATTACAAAAAAATGTGTATATGAATACACTTTAAGTTTAAGATATGTCTTACACTGTAAAATGTAATATTAAATATTTATTAACATTTGTTTGATCTTTTTTGTTATTATTTTTAGTCATTTAGTCGGTCCTCAATATAAGCGACTATTGCGACCATCTCTCCTAAAACTATGTCCCATTCCATTTAACATAATCTAATTAATAAAATCTAGCCCTAGAGGTTACGGCATTACTACTTGCATAAACTCCTTGGTGGGATTTGAACCTGGTAACTCGGGGACCAAAGTCCTGCGCCCCATCACTAGACCAGCTCGCCCCTCAACGTTAGCTACACTATATCTAGAGCTGGTATCTTTCACTCAGTATAATCAAACCTGACTGTTTGTTGCAGATGCTGGTCAGCATGATCCCCCTCGCCATGGCGCTGGTCTGCGCCTTGTACAGTCAGGTCACAGCAGAACCTGCTCCTCAGTTCCATCCCTCAGGATATCACGGTGGCCGTCACTGGTCACAGGCTCGCAACCACTCCTTCGCCGCGCCTAAAACCAGCTTTGACTTCCTAGACCCCGCGACCTCGCCGGTAGTGGATGATATGATCAAATCACAGGTTCCTCGTCAGTCTGGTCTTTACGGGATTCCTTTCAGCTTCGCAGGACGGAACGAAAACTTTCCTCCACAGCAAGCAGCCCAACAACCGGGATACTCTCAAGGGTATCCGGGTTCCCCGAACTTCCAGAACAATCAAGGGTTCCAAGGCCCTCAGCCATCTCAAGGGTTCCAGGGCCAGGGTTTCCAGGGTACACCGGTATATCCTCAAATCTACAAGGTAGACAATTTGATCATCATCGCTAACCCTCCCGAACAGCAAGCTTGTCCTCAGACATGCAACATCAAGCCTCTAGACAAGAACACGTTCCCCGGCAAGGACGATGAACTGGACAACAGGTTGGGCCTGAGTGACCCCAGCGAGCCTACCAAGTGTACCTGGGCCATTGTAGCGTGTTGCGCCCCCGGCAACAACGAGGTGCGCTACAACTGCTTCGAGCTGATGGGATGTCCGGGTCTGTTCCTGGGACAGAATCCTTGCACTCCTAGGTTCGTGGAGGCGGCGACACAGTCAGCGCTCAACTTTTACCGCAGTGGCAACTCCAATACCACGGCTAGCGACACCAACCAACTCTAAACTCACTATTTTAAAACGAAACTTACGCCATATTATATTTTTTTGTCTATTATATTATAAGTGTTTGTTATGTGTCTCCTGCGTATATCGTTGTTGTTTAGATTTCACTCTTGACTCTTGTTGTTAGATCATGTTCCACTAAGTATTTCTGTTGTTAAGGAATTTTCTACAAATACGTTAACTAAACAGTATTATGAGCGATTATTTTAATAGCGATGAAACTTTTAACCACATGATATAATTTACATGTTTATTAATGTTTTGATGAAGCAGTGACGACAACCGTAACAGTATTCGCATAATGACCAAGAGGCCGTTACTTATTTAAAAAGACCTTCTACTGTATCATTGTTATTGGCTTATCACAACTATTTAGACACGTCAGTTAATCAGTGTTTCATCGTTAAGTTGTTCTCTAGCATATGAGGTACAATTTCTTATTTTCCCTAACATAAAATTATTAAAATTATTGTTTAAATGTTTCAACAAAATCATATTTTTTAGTTTTTTCCTTTTCATCATCCTCCTCCAAATTAATGCACGAGCCTTATTGTGTTTAAAAAATATGGTGAAGATTATACAGCTGAATGCACAATTAATAACCTCTAGATTATTATTTTATACTTTTGAATTGTTTATAATATTTATACAAAAAAGGAATAACTTAAATTTATATTAAAATTATTGCTTGTGATATATTTATAGCTATACCTATTGATAGTGTTAAATGTATATAGTGTACATATTATATTTACGTGTTTATAACATTAAATTAGGTGACAATGGTTCCTCTATATAATAATCAAACGATTTGTTTATTGTGAGATGAACAACAATGTCATGTAAATGTACATGAACATGATAACAATTGTAAAGATTATTAGGAATATTTAAGTTTTTTTATTAGTGATCATTATAGCAAAATATTGACGGATTTAAGAGCAACTGACAAGATTAATAATTCCTCTAAGATATTGCATTAAGTTTAGTAGAGATTTTCCCTAAAAAAATTAATAAACTAATATCACAGATTAATTGTTTTACCTGTGCGACGGTATAATAAAATATACTAGAGGTCGTCCAGTGGTCGAACACTCGACCAAAAATTTTTAATATACAGACTTCTCCATTTTCACCCCACACTGTAAATAAAATATGTGACTGTAATTTTTTTCCTTTTGTTTTGATTTTCTGTTTATATTTCGTTGTTATCTCGTCACAAGCATGGCAACCCATAAAGCCCATGTAATTTTGTTTTTGATTTAAAATTAATTTTTTGTTCTTATATTTGAGCCTATTTGATTTTTTAATGGAATTCTGCACATCTACAGAGAATATATTTCTAACAGAATGCGTAGATTTTCCCTTTTATGCACACGAGCTGAGAAAAAAGGTTTTAAAGAAACATGCTTGCCTATTAATATACAGATAGAAGATCGTTCACTTTAAAATTCCTTAGTAGTAGAGTCCAGCATATCCAAGTTTAACCAACTTAATCGTGCGATGTGAATATGCTAAAGTGAATATGCTTGTTTTTGCACCGTGTACTTTTTTTGCTTTAATGAATCTTGTAGAAATTTTGTTATTAGCTAATAACAATAATACGTAAAGTTTTAGTTGTAGTATATTTATTTTAAATTTAAGTACAATGTCATTTTATTTACGACTTATATTAGGATTTTGTTTAATTAAGTTTATTTTACCGTATACTGGTTTTACAACTTATTTCTTATTGTCGCATTGCATTACTACTTATTAAAGCCAATTGTGACACGTAGTTGATAGGAACGCCAGAGACCTCAATTATGTGACATCTGTTATGTTATGTACAGCTCTGTTAAGGAGTTAATTAATATAATAAATCTACCTTTGTACTAATGTCTTATTATTAACAGGGTCTTTAGTGTAATACAGGGTTGTACAACTCTTATATCAAGCCAGCTCACAGAATTTACATGCAACAACTATCAAGCTTTGCACACAATGACCAGACTACTCGCACTTAAATTGGTTAAAACTCGGATGAGTTCTTTTGACTATGTGGAGTAGATACTTTTTTTTTTAAAGAATGTATGCACATCTCTAAAATCCACGTTTATTCACGTTGCATCTAAATTTTTGTTTAGGATTAGGTCTTCAAATTGAGAAATTGTAAAATGCCGTTTTTAATATTTAACTTATCGTCTATATAAAAACGTGAGTGCGGGTTTTTTTATTTAATGATTGAAACTCGACCACTAGGCGGACTTTAATGATTGTTGTGTTGAAAGAAAGATAACTTTGATAGGGAATGTTTAAGCCATCATTTTAGTTAGCAGTGTCAGTTTAGCAAATCTTTTTTAGAAATTAAGTTTAAATTGAGAAAAAAATTAGCAGCCGACGCTATCATTTAAAGTATGTTTCAAAGTAATTTTGTTTAACTAACACCTGGTTTTAAACTGTCACTAAAACGTTACAAGTTGTTTACTGATTTTGATTTTTTTTATATTACTGATTTTCATATACCAACTTTCAAAAGCCTAAAACTGAAATAAAAAAATAGTATCGTTTAGTAATGCAGTTAACTCGTATTTAATATAGGAAAATATTTAGTTTTTGGTTTATTACTCAAATACTAAAAAAAAAGACAGTAGGTGTAGATTGGAAAGTTATTAATCTTAACAAAACGCTTGAAATGATATGCTATTTGACATATATTGCCATTTGATTTTTTATTTACAGGGCCATCAACATAAAATTAAATTAAATTTTGATAAAAATTATCATTTCGAAAATGTTATTACATGTGACACATCATTGTAAAGCTGTGCTTACCAGGATTACGCATTTTCAATCAGAAGGAAAAAAGTTTAGCGGTTTAGAAAATACAAGGTATTACAGTACTTCAATAAGTGAAACATTGACAAAACTGGCCGCCATTTTGAAACGAATTGAGATAAATGAGTTCTGTTTTCACCAAAATGTTACTCTTAGCAAGACCTTTCTAAAGATTAACAGGTCATACAGGTTGACATAAGGAAATTTCGAAATTAAAACCCGGGACCTAAATTTCTGGAACACCATGTGCTTGGATCACGTTCTAAATATTTTAAATGGATTCTTCGTATGTGATTTAGGGAGGAATGCTGTAATTTTATTTCTCCCTTCTAGGTGAAAACGTATTTTCGTAAAAGTATGTGCACGGTTGGTCTGCTTCACCCTGTATATTAAAAAGAGGATAGTGGTAAATCATAAATGAGAATTCTTTTTATTCATTACCTTTGAATCAAACTGATTAATCGCTATAAAAACTAAAAATATCAAACTTCTTTGCAAATTTTGTTGCTCTGCTATTTTGTTCTGATTATCAAATGTGACTTTCGGTGTTATATTTTACATTTGTTTATCTTATAACAGTTGGGTTCTAAGTTTGTAGTGTGTTTTACTGATAACAACCTAATAACAACCTTTTTATGGAAAACCCAGTATATTGCTAAATAACATTTATTATTTTATAGGTATACTAGCTGTACCCACGGGCTTTGCCCCGTTTAACTTCTTAATTTTCAGGATGAGCTCGTTTGCATGGCTCAATCACGTCCTGGTTGAAATTGAAATTTAGGTTGGAGCTCGTTCGCTGCGCTCACTTGCCTTCAGGTTAGCTCGTTCGCTACGCTAACTCGCCTCCAGGTTGAAGTTCGTTCGCTATGCTCACTCACCTTTTGGTTGCAAATTAGCTGTTGTCATAAATGTAAAAGAAATAATAGTGCTGCACCCTGTTGGTAATCCTTGTAACTTTAATGCTATTGCACATCATAGAACAGAACCAACTTGTTTAATTGAAACAGCTGTTAAGATTCATTAATTCCATTTAAATATGAGTACTCATAAGGTTAACATGGGAAACTCCAGAGCCACTGGGGCGGAGCCCGAGAGTCCGATCAAAATAAAAACAACTTAGTTTTCCTAATTAATGCCTAAAGAATCAGTGTACCAAATTTCAGCCTCCTAGGTAAATGGGAAGTGGGAGAATTAGTGATGAGTGAGTCAGTCAGTCAGTCAGTCAGTCAGTGAGGGCTTTGCCTTTTATATATATAGATATTAATTGCTGTCTTGTGATATTCATACAAATCTCACAATTTAACAGACATCTAAATGGATGGACGCAAAAAATAGCATTTGAATTACAAATAATTTTACATACGACCGTTTTTTTAAGTAGGCGTTTCAATTCAGTTCTTAGAATTTAAATTTTTCTCATAACAGCATTGTTTACTTTCATAACGGCATCGTTTTACTTCTTACAACACGGGTAACGGACAGTTCAAGGATTGAGAGAGAAGAAGTGAAATTGGAATGATTCGAACTTCAACTAATCAGCTGTTCACGCCAATTTAATTGTTGAGTGGTGCAATTAGTGTTTGGTACAATGTTTATAAACGAAAACATAACCTCTCTTAGAAGCTATGAGTATTGATGTTTAGTATTTAAAACACTGTCGTAGGCAAAGTAGTGTAAATAGTGTTACGACACTCGTAGAAGTTCTTAAGGCACTCACCAAGGTTCGTACCTTAAATTTTCTACTCGTGTCATTAACACTATCTTTATGCAATCGTTGCGTAAACTACTATAAAATTGTGTGAGTCAAAATAACAGTGTACTCTTCACTGCAGCCTTGCTACAATCGCCGGAGAATTCGCAACAACGAGCTTGTAACGCCGTCGGGTGTTGTAAAGCTAATTACCAGAAAGTGTAGAAAGCAAGGTCAGCATCAATGTGGTATTGTTGTACGACGGAGGTGCGGAAATTATGATCTCCATGGAATGGTGGGTCCAAGACTGCTGGTAGCTGTATCTGCAGATGTGATCGCAGTGTGAGGAAGTAGAGATGTGCCAAGCTACAAGGTGTGCTGAGAGCCTGGGTAAGGGAAGGTATTTTTAGTAGAAGCCCCCCCCTGTAAAAAATGGTACATACATGCTGAGTGATAAATGTCCTTTGGTCCAGTTTTAGCTTTTGACGTGTTATTAGGTAGGATTTGTGCCAGGAGATACTATCGTGAGCTTAGGGAGTAAACTATGCTTGCAGCATACGTTACGTAATGTGGCATGTCATTGTTCCTGTCATCTAAACATTATAAATATTTATAATCGATTAAATATTGACTGAAGCATGATCTCACTATAATCTACTCGCATTTAGAAGACACAATTAATACTACATAGAAGAGTTCTGTACTTCAGAGTAGGCTCCTGTACCAGATTTATAACACGCCAATATATATAAAATATAAGTAAATATGAATATCTAATCAAATATAAGTCTTTAAATAGTGCAAAGAAAACGTACATATTGTTCATTATCGTAATAGTTTTCTCGAACATTTCATTATTCACTTATTTAACCAAATACCGGTACAATATAGCCTATGCAATTAACAAAATACCCCCGCCGCAGCAAACCTGCAGACTAAGCGAATTTCCATTTGACTGATTGGATTTACACTGAAATGTCTACTTAAAAATATAACATTTATTCCCGATTTAAATAGAATTAGTTTAACAAGTACTTAGGTTTGCTGCATCAGGGAGGGTAAAACTGTTTTTTTTTTAAATGTTAATAGTTTGTAAGAAATAAAAACATTTTCCAAATTTGATCAAAATATGTTCATAAACAAGCAAACTACAACAGTTTACTCATTCTCCATAAGAATAACATGGGAATTTTAAATTTACAATTTTTTTGAATTTTCTCCGTGACCATTAGGCGCATAATAACGCTTCAATATACTAAATTATTTGTTTTTTGAAGCTCTACAAAATGGTTTGGAAATAAATTGCTAAATTTTATGTTTTTTGGGTCAAAAATGGGAAAAACCTATTTTTACCCCATAAAACCCCCCGTAAACACCCGTTCCCATGGTCCGATCATGCTGGATCGCGAACTCGTTTGAATAAACGTAGGTTTACACGTTTGTACCAAATTTCATCAAAATCGGATCATTTTTGCTCGAGTTATCGTGCTGACGGACACACATATATATATATATAAATATATATATATATATATATATATATAAATATATATATATAAATATATATATATATATATATATATTTGAACTGATGGTGTTTTTGGCCTCTAGGGACCTCAAAACGAAAAAAAATAGGTCCCGCGTCCAGGTCTTACCATGAGTACTACGGTAATAGCTTATTCCCTATATGGGAAATTCGCTAATATTGTTCAAATGAGTTACGTCACAATTATCTACATAACAATGCAAAACACTTTTACCGCTAAAATATCAAGCAACATTTGTTTATAGTTTTTTGTCATTTAATTTCGTGGTAGAAAATTTACATTAAATATAGCCTATACTGTCTTTATTGATAATAACCATTTTGCATGTCTGACCCAATCACGAATTCTGTACATATTTTTCTTACAAAGTTAGCATTATTATGACATCAACTTTTATTAATAGCATTACTAAATATAGCTATAAACATAGGTGGATAAATATAAGCTGTAGGTTTCATCTTTAAGAAGAATCCTAAAAACTGTTTTCACTGGTTTTAATTTTATTTACACTTGTGCTAATAATTGTTCAATAATTTTGTGAACTGGTACAAGAAGTATGGAAAGATCCATTAAAATTAGTTTTATTAAATGCATAACTTTATCGCAAAGGGGGGGTACAGATTGATATTTTAACGTTATAGTCTCATAAAAAAGGTTTACAACATGTTATTGTCAACATGTTTATTATTTTTTACTTTGCTTATTTAACTCTTTAATGTATAAGAAAAAATGTGCCAGGATATGTAAAAAGCTAGACATTCTTAAAAGATTGTCATAGCATTAACTATGTAGGTCCTTCATTTATTAATGAAGGACC